TGTACTAATCTTACCTTCCTTGTCCCATGTAACAGTGCAGATTCATCTCAACTGGTAGCTCAGCCACCAGCATTGCCACTTGGGGGCAGAAAAATAGTCTTCAGCCCCATGTAGGCTCCAACTAGGATCCAACTGGAGTCAGCTCAAGACTTCAGAATCGGAATAGCAGGGGAGTAAAGGTAAAGTGAGTATATACTGATATGGGGGGCAGACTTTAAATAGAAGCTGTTCGATTTACCTGCTTTCAATTTTTCAAGTGTATGCCAAGCCCAAACTTTTTTTTCTAGTTTTGGATAGAACAAGGAAGGGTTAGCACCCTTTTTAGGATTTTATGTTGTTGTCTGTGATGCTCCTTCAGGTGGGCTATACATTGTAAGATTTCTCTCATTCAGCCCCCTGGGGAAACAGCATGGATGGAAAAATCTCTCCCGACAACTATATTTTGACAGCCCTCACCCGCTGCTCTCTGAATACTTGAACATTGGTTGCATCTGACTGCATGCAGCCACTGTCTGGACCACAATTTTCTGCATGTTTCCTTCAATTTTCAGATTGAAGGATGTAAGAGGAAGGATGCTGACAAGGCCTCCATCTACAGCTCAGATTTTGGCTGGTTCATCAAGTACTAGCCAAAATGCATTCTATGTATGGTCTGCTTTACTGGTGACCGTTGTCCCTGGTAAAAAAAAGTGCTGAAAAATCCAACATTTTGGAGATGTCATAGGAACAGGAGATGAGGGCAGATCTTTCAATTGGGGCCCCCTGCTGTGGTGACAAATGTCTAAGCGGTTATCCTCTAGTATTTAAAAGACCTCCTGTGATGCATTCCTCTCCATTTTTTGAGCGCACACCTGCACAGCGTAATGGTGAGAATTGAAACAAGAGGACACAAGGCAAATTGCCTAGTCAAGGTGCTGGCACAACGCATATGGTGTGAATGGGCCCTTGTGCCCATGTAAAAAGCCCACCTGCCAGGCACCTGTCCACCCAATAAGAGTGCTTTGCTAGTCAATACCATCCAGTTCGTAAGGTGGCCATACACATTCAGTTTTCTTTTGTTCAGCCAGCAGGTTGAATGTAAAAAAGAAGAAAAAAAGAACAGATTTCTCCATCCACACAAAGTGGATGGAGCAATTACCTCCATCGGGAGCAATCCACTCTACAGGCTGCTATCAGAATACACTTACCAGCAGCTGCAGCAAATCGGCTGAAGCTGCTCATTGAGGAAAATTTTCTGAACCAACCAAATTCCAATCAGCCAGCCTTAGAGAATAGAGGATGATGGGAGGGACTGAGGTATCCCTAGCAAACTGAAAAGCATTCCCAGACGGAGCTTTTTCTGGACAAGGCTGGTGATAGTGGGCACTTTATGAGTGCCTGATCCTAGGCAGTACTTTTAGTTTTACATATTCAAAGCAGAAGATAGGGTCACTTAAAAAAAAAACAAGAAGTCACAGACAGCCAGGCTGGTGCTCAGATCTGCAAATGAAGGTCATAAAAAGGAATGTGTCTAAAGGCTTCTCTACTGCAGTAAAAACGCTTTTACTGCATGAACTCTGCCATCGAGAAGTCACCACTTAAGCTCTCCTCCACTATACTGCTAATGTTCCAATGTGAAAAACTGAACAAGAAGTGTGTGACCTTTGTTATGCAACAGAGTATTTCAGATTGAGCGAATACATCAAACATCAGTATGATAAATAGTTTGGAAGAAGCTTCTGAATAAAAACCCTACATTACCACATTCTCCTTATAAATACATATATTTAAAAAAAAAAAATCAAACATACTTTTTTTCTCCTACTTTTTATAAAATATGATGTCAATCAAGTTTATATGAGGCCAATTTTATTCCTGTTTTCAGTTGTGGATAGATAACTCCTTACAGCCGCTGGAAGCCAGCCCTTCAAGGATACCCAAGGCATTTCCTGGGCTTCCAGATCATGTGATCACATTGATCACAGTGAATGGCTGTTACAGTGGACACATGACAGCTCAGTCAGTCAACAGCTGGTTGTAAGCATATATGTGGCAGCGCGGCATGAAGTCCACCACCGTGCTGCCACATATATATGTGTGCAGCTGGCAGAAAGGAGTTAACAAATATATAAAACCAAAACTTGTTTTCATTTCGGATAGAGTAAGGTTGGGTTAAACACTTGTCAGTTCTTTTTTCCAACTGTGTCTCCTTAGGGAGATTTTCTTTCACTTTCTGTACTGTAGACTAAGGCCCCTTTCACACGGGCAGACTGATCAGGTCCTCATGTCCGATTTTCACATGGACCCAATTGGACCATCCATTGTTCTCCATGGAGTGGCAGGCATATATGGATATGTGTCTATTTACACCCACCTGTATCCAACCCAATCCTATAAAAACAGACGGATGGGGGATCTGTACCCCCATTTTTTCCTGTAGCACAGGCGTGCACAGTTTTAAAGCATGTCATGTTTGGTATCTATTTACTTGGTGTAACATCTTTTATACTGTATCAAACAATTTGGCAAGGCGTTGTATTTTTGTGCATCAGGTTCCAAAAAAGTGTATTTTTTCCAAAAAATTAGCGTTTGAAAAATTGCTGTGCAAATACTGTGTGACATACAAAATTGAAACACCTACCATTTTATTCTTTAGGGACATTGCTTTAAAAAAATATATAATGTTTGGGGGTTCAAAGTAATTTTATAGGAAAAAAAATGTTTTTTCGTGCAAACAAAAAGTGACAATAAAGGCTTGTTCTTCAAGTGGTTAGAAGAGTGAGTGATGTGTGGCATAAACTTCTAGTGTTTGCCCTGAAATGCCAGGATAGTAGTAGCAATCCCCCAAATGACCCCTTTTTGAAAAGCAGACACTCCACGATATTTGCTCAGAGGCAGGGTGAGCTTTTTACAGATCTCATTTGTTGCCACAAGTTTTTGGAAAATGAAGAAAGAAAACAAAAATGTATTTTTCTTTTCTTTTTTTTTTTTTCAAAACCCTGCGACAAAAATTATATCTGTAAAATATTCGCCATGTCTCTTATCAAATTCCTTGGTGTCTGTTTTCCAAAAAGGGATCATTTGGGGGGTTGTTTTTACTACCCTGGCATTTTAGGGCCTCTGAAACTGTGATAGGTAGTGAGGAAGTGATTTGAGGAAATATGCCCTTTGAAATCCTGACGGTGGTCATTGGATTTTGAGGGCCTGTATGCTGTATGGCTAGGCTGCCAAAAAGTTTCTCAAGTGTGGTATCCCCATACTCGGGAGAAGTAGCAGAATGGGTTTTGGGGTTTGTCATTTTCCAAAATATTGTGGCAAAAAAGTAAAATCTTCCATGGACTCAACATGCCTCTCAGCAAATTCCTTGTGGTGTTCACTTTCCAAAAAGGGGTCATTTTGGGGGGTCTTTGTACTGCCCTGGCAGTTTAGCACCTCAAGAAATGTGATAGGCAGTCAGAAAGTACCAGCACCGTGGTAGTTCATTGAGAACTACAAGCCAACAACTGCTAAGGCTTTCAGGACTTGTAGTTCATGCACAGAACACTGTGAATCAATGACGCAGTGTCAGTGGAGCCCTGCACGGCCACACTGTTTTTAAAAAGTGACAGCTTGTACGGGGAACCTCTCCCAGTACTTCTGCCATGGGAGGGGGAGGGAATTGGGCTGCGGCTGCAGCATTGGGAACATGTTACATGTTCCACCCTAAAAATGGGTGGAACATGTAACATGTTCCCAAAGGTGAACTTATCCTTTAAAGCAAACCTATTAGATATATCACTACACCTCTGAACTTTCTGAGATGGAAAAGAAGGACATCTATTAGCAAAAAGTATGTAGGCCAAATACATACCCCAGCCACACCCCTGCTACATGGAGAATTTGAAAAAAAAAAACAACGATTGGTTAGACCAGCCTTTCTTAACCTTTTTAACATGGAGAAACCCTAAGAATAATGTTTTGCCTTCAGGAGACCTCTGCTAATAATTTATTATATTTACAGCTCACAGCACATTATTGTGATGGTCAGTGGGAGGAACGCTTCTTACATTTGAGGTCATTGGGAAGAATCCCCCCTTACACATAGCTAAACACACCACTGGTTACTCTGGTTAATCCAAGAAGAAGACATCTATTATTGCTCAAGGAGCCCCTAACAACCTCTGAAGAAACCCTGGGCTAGACCCACAAGTGCTTTTACATCCCAGTTCCTTTATACTGGTTTTTGAAATTTACAAATGCAACAATTTATAAATTGGATGAAATGTTTAGCACTGTATAACACATTCTGATAAACAATGCATTTTTTATACAGGTATATACATTGGACCAAAATGAGGGACAAATATGGAGGAGAGAGGGACAGATAGACTTTTTTCAAAGGAGGGAAAGTCCCTCCAAATCATGGAAAGTAGGGAGCTATAATATTACCAACCATGATCTCATAAAGAAGGCTGGAAACAGACAGTCGGTATAGGTGCTGCATGGATCTTTTATATACTTCACAAGCATCCCAAGGACCCTATAATGACTGATATGGAAACACAGCTGGTGTCTCTCTCACTTTTACCTGCAGGAGACTGAGGCTGCACATTACTATGTAGGCATTGTTCATGTGATTTCTATTCAAGGAGAGAAGCTTAGATTACACACAAATATTCATTGTCTCATCCTGCACCTCAGCAAAGATCACGTAACTATAGTCTCAATATTTGGCCACACAATTGACTGATTCAGGATCTCTAACCATCAGTTTCTGCAGCCAAGGTGAGTACTTTTTGTCTTCTTCCAGCTTCTATAATGTTGGGGCAACATGAGGGCAGAGGGTAGGGAGCATTATTTGACTTTAAAAGGGGCTCGTGGTGACTTCAGCCTTGATATTTTGCACTTGTGTCTCCAGGTCTAAATTAGGGAATCTGCCTCCTTTTTCTACATTCTCCTTAACACAAAAGAATCGAGTAAAGAAACTGAACACTGCAGTAGTTATCAAGCCATACATTAATGGATGCATAAAAACCACATACCTTTCCCCAAAAAATTTTGGAAAATTGTGAAATTACGAAGTGTCCCAGCATAAGACATAAGAGCCGCAAGTGAGCCCATTCCATCCAGAAACTCCACTCAAAGTCTGCCACATCCTACAAAGGAAGCAATATATTAGTTACAAAATAAAGTTCTTTACTTTAACATTTTATTTCATTTTTTTCCGAATAATTCACATTAACATCAGTAATCATTAAAGAGGAACTTTACTCTGACTAACCCACCCCAAAAAATTCCTAAACTGGTCCCGGTCTCAAAATGTAAAAAAAAACCCCATACACTTACTAGACAATGGAGTTCAGCATTGTCTTGGTTGAAGCAGAGGTTCTCCCTTTGTCCCCCTTCTCCAGCCCCACCATCTTAACTTTAGATCCAACACATGTGCAGACATACTGCAAGTCTCTACCACGTCTACGGAACCTAGCAAAGATCCTGCAACATGTTTGTGCACTTGCCTGATCCCTCGCACATGTGCAGACATGCCACAGGTCTCTGCAAGTACCATAGCAGAGACCTCCATGGCATTTGTGCAGATGCATGACATTTCCCAAATGGCCCCTGGGTTACCACTGGAGCAAACAGTGCATGTTAGTTGTGCTCATGTGCATAGTTCTATGCACACTACAAATCCCATAATCCATATCAGGAGTGAGCAAGAGAGACTGGCTATGTTCCTACATAAAGTTAGACCATGGAAAACAAACATCGCCACCCTCTAACAAAAAGTTAGCTCATAGCTGCAAACAAAAGCAATATGAAGATTTGAAAAAGCCTGAGTGTAATTGAAGGGGCTTTTGAGTTAAGAATACATATTTGAATAGAACTTATTTTTGTAAAACCAGAGTTTAGTGTCACTTTAAGGCACTGTATTTAAGCGTATACCCATCCAAGGGCCACATTTGCTAGCATGGGGATTCACAGGTGTTTCATGTATCCCCATGCCGGCAGTCAAATTTATGTCAATTGGGATGCAGTGGTTGCATGAACACAGCTACTGCTTCCAACCTGACATCCATGTGGGCACAGGTGCATGTGGGTCCCCAAATGCACATTGTCTGCGTTCAGGGAATTGCACCCATACAGGTGTCAAATTGAGTGCAGCATCTGTGTCTGTGCAGCCATTACGTACCAACTGACATAAATGGGACTGCCTGCACATAGATGCATAGAATACCTGTGCATCCTTGTGAGGAAGCAAACCCGGCCCTTGCATAGGCATACGCTTCAATAACCCCCATGTGAACAAGGACTAAAAAGAAATAGATTCTTACATTGTAGTTATTATTTGATCAGTGTAGACACAAATAATTCTATCCAGTGTTTTTCTTTATATAAGCCTGTTAATTAGTTATTACTGTCTTTATTTGCTGGGGGTGCAGAAAGCCTTCTTTCCATTCGTGTTCTATTAGTCAGAACAGCAATTGTGACATTTAACCCATTTAATGAGGTTCCTAAAGACTGCTCAGGCGGGTAAATTTCATTACAGGAAGCAGTGAAACTTAGTAACATGGAAGCGGCGAGGGAGAGGCAAGCCATGTGTGACATTCAGTCTACACTGTGTACAGTACAGGAAGGTTACGCTCTCTGCACTAATTCACTTACAGGAGATAAATCAAGAGCAATTAGGGAAACTGCCAATAAAATATAAACACCAGCAATGGGAATACACTGCATAACCAGGCACAGACCAGTAACTAATGAGCCAGTTTGTTATATAATTTATATTATACAAGTAATAGGAGTATGTGTAATAAAGATTGATATTTGGTGAAGAGTGAAGTAGTAGTTTGGAAATGTGTCCAGTTACATCTGTAAAAATATAAACTATGCTGGGTGTAATTCTTAGAACTCATTGTTATCCTGTACGTTTAGATAATGCACAGTATGCTCTTTGCTGCTGGGTTTGATTCTCTTCTTGAAGCAGACCTTCACCCATTAAAGCACTTCCTCTCTTCTGACTCTTCGCTATTCTTCCTAAAGTGACTGTAAACCCATACTTTTTTAAATAACAACCTACTTATCTGCTCTGTGCATCAGGTTTGCACAGAACAATTCCAATCCTTCTCTTTTCTGGTGCCCCGCCAGTGTTCCTGGTTGCTCCCCTTTGCCAAGTGCACGCCATAGCTTGCTAAGGGGGCAATCGTGCGCGCTTACTCCCAAACAGGCTGTGTGTGTCCATTGACACACACAGCGCAGCATAGTGCAGCTCTGCCCCCCACTCGATCCTCACTGGCTCTGATTGAGTGCAGCAGGAGCCATCGGCCATACTGTCTCTGAGCCAGGGGCGGACTGACAACTCATGGGGCCCCCGGGCAATAGGGGATCAAGGGGCCCCTGTGTCCTTGCCCAAACTCCAAAAAGCCTATGAAAAAGGTACCAGGGGCATCTCATGGGGCCCCCCACTGACCCCGGGCCCTCGGGCAGTGCCCGAGTTTACAAATGGTCAGTCTGCCCCTGCTCTGAGCCTAAAGGGAGCACAGAGAGAGCCACTGCTCTTTTGCACAGTGCTGGATCGAGATTGAGTTCAGGTGAGTATAAGTGTGTGTGTGTGTGTGTGTGTGTGTGTGTGTGTGTGTGGGGGGGGGAAGGTTGAGGGGTAGCACCTTATAGCATAGAATGCATGAATGTAAAAAACCTTCAGCCTTTACAACCACTTTAAGCAACTGGAAATTTTATTTAGTTCTTTTTTAACAAAAAACACTTTTTTTAAATGTATTTTCTACAGTGTTTACTTCTATAGTGTTTATTATTGATTATATTGATTAGTTGTATCAGCCCTACGCTATATGTGAAGATGCTGCACAGTACCAATTCTCTAACTCTGTGGGGGGGAGATTTACTAAAACCGGAGCAGTCATAAGCTGCTATGCATTTATATAATGCTATAATGCTATGCATGGTAGCCAATCAGCTTCTAACTTCAGATTGTTCAATTAAGCTTTGACAAAAAAAAAAAACAACAACTTGGAAGCTGATTTGTTTCTATGCAGAGCTGCACCAAATTTTGCAGTCTCCAGTTTTAGTAAATAACACCCTGTATGTACGGGTGAAACTCGAAAAATTAGAATATTGTGCAAAAGTTCATTTATTTCAGTAATGCAACTTAAAAGGTGAAACTAATTTATGAGATAGACTCATTACATGCAAAGCAAGATAGTTCAAGCCGTGATTTGTCAGAATTGTGATGATTATGGCTTACAGCTCATGAAAACCCCAAATCCACAATCTCAGAAAATTAGAATATTACATGCAATCAATACAACAAGGATTGTACATAGAACAATATCGGATCTCTGAAATGTATAAGCATGCATATGTACTCAGTACTTGGTTTGGGCCCCTTTTGCAGCAATTACTGCCTCAATGCGGCGTGGCATGGAAGCTATCAGCCTGTGGCACTGCTGAGGTGTTATGGAAGACCAGGATGCTTCAATAGCGGCCTTCAGCTCTTCTGCATTGTTCAGTCTCATGTCTCTCATCTTTCTCTTGGCAATGCCCCATAGATTCTCTATGGGGTTCAGGTCAGGCGAGTTTGCTGGCCAATCAAGCACAGTAATCCCACGGTCATTGAACCAGGTTTTGGTGCTTTTGGCAGTGTGGGCAGGTGCCAAGTCCTGCTGGAAAATGAAGTCAGCATCCCCATAAAGCTTGTCTGTGGAAGGAAGCATGAAGTGCTCCAAAATCTCCTGGTAGACGGCTGCGTTGACCCTGGACTTAATGAAGCACAGTGGACCAACACCAGCAGATGACATGGCTCCCCAAATCAACACAGACTGTGGAAACTTCACACTGGACTTCCAGCATCTTGCAGTGTGTGCCTCTCCATTCTTCCTCCATACTCTGGGTCCTTGTGCCTCTCCATTCTTCTCCATACTCTGGGTCCTTGGTTTCCAAATGAGATGCAAAAGTTGCTCTCATCAGAAAACAGGACTTTTGACCACTGAGCAACAGACCAGGTCTGTTTTTCTTTAGCCCAGGTAAGACGTTTCTGACGTTGTTTGTTGTTCAGGAGCGGCTTGACAAGAGGAATACGACATTTGAAGCCCATGTCCAGGATCCGTCTGTGTGTGGTGGCTCCAGCCTCAGTCCACTCCTTGTGAAAGTCCCCAACACTTTTGAATGGCCTTTTCCTGACAATCCTCTCCAGGCTGCGGTCATCCCTGCTGCTTGTGCACCTTTTTCTTCCACACTTTTCCCTTACACATAACTTTCTATTAATGTGCTTTGATACAGCACTTTGGGAACATCCAACTTCTTTTGCAATTACCTTTTGAGGCTTTCCCTCCTTATGGTGGGTGTCAATGATGGTGTCAGGTCAGCAGTCTTTCCCATGATTGTGATTCCTACTGAACCAGACTGAGAGACCATTGAAAGGCTCAGGAACCCTTTGCAGGTGTTATGGCTTAATTAGCTGATTAGAGTGGGACACTTTGAGCCGAGAATATTCCACCTTTTCACAATATTCTAATTTTCTGAGATTGTGGATTTGGGGTTTTCATGAGCTGTAAGCCATAATCATCACTATTATGACAAATAACGGCTTGAACTATCTTGCTTTGCATGTAATGAGTCTATCTCATATATTTAGTTTCACCTTTTAAGTTGCATTACTGAAATAAATGAACTTTTGCACAATATTCAAATTTTTCGAGTTTCACCTGTATATGCTACACAGTACCACTTCTCCTATTGTGTATGTAAAGATGCTGCACAGTACCACTTCTCTTGTGTATATAAAGATGCTGCACAGTACCACTTCTCCTATTGTGTATGTAAAGATGCTGCACAGTACCACTTCTCCTATTCTGTATATAAAGATGCTGCACAGTACCACTTCTATTGTGTATATAAAGATGCTGCACAGTACCACTTCTCCTATTGTGTATGTAAAGATGCTGCACAGTACCACTTCTCCTATTCTGTATATAAAGATGCTGCACAGTACCACTTCTATTGTGTATATAAAGATGCTGCACAGTACCACTTCTCCTATTGTGTATGTAAAGATGCTGCCCAGTACCACTTCTCCTATTGTGTATATAAATATGCTGCACAGTACCAC